GGGGGGGGGGGGGGGGCGGGTTCTTGCGTTTCGATTCTATTGCGGTGTGTGGCCGCGCAGAGGTGTTTCTCATGCGTTCGAGTATATCGCGAAAGCTGCAATGCCAAAAAAGTGCGTGTTTGCACGGTTTTCGGTTTAGCACATTTTTGCGGTGTCGCCTTCGCGCGTCTTGTCGTGCACATGCTCATGGAGTATCGAGTAAAGACTAAATAGTCCTAAAATTGCAAAAAAATCTCGACAGACGACTCGACACTCATAATGTATCTCATACATTAATACATACATAATGTGTGGATCATGCCGTGTCGAGCGAATCCACACCCGGGCGCGCGCGCCGGGAGCGGAGACGAGCGAGCCGCGAACCAAGACCACCCTCATGCCCCTGCCGCCGCTGGCGACGGGGCGGGCAAGTCGTCCGCAAAAGCAACCGCGTAGACGTCGTCGTAGGTGGTGGCAAAGTGCGCCGTGATCCCGGCTTGCAGGTTGCCTGGCAGCTCGACGAAATCGCGCTCGTTGGCCTTTGGCATCACGATGTGGCTCACTCCGGAGCGGCGCGCGGCAATCACCTTTTCTTTGATGCCCCCGACCGGCAGCACGCGGCCCGTCAAAGTCACCTCCCCAGTCATCGCAACGTCGGTGCGAGGCGCTGCGTCCCTCGCCATCGAGACGAGCGCTGTCACCATCGTCACTCCGGCGGACGGCCCATCCTTTGGCGTCGCCCCCTCTGGCACGTGCAGCGCGATGGGAGTTCGCTCCAGCAGCCGGTTCGACGGCTCGCGCGCGGCGACAAAATTGCGCGCGTACGTGTGCGCAATGAGCGACGACTCCTACGGTCCAGACACGGCTGGTCAAGAGATCCTCCCCCTTCCCTCGAGCAGCGACCAGACGGCAAGCGGCGTCCCTCATCACATCACCCAGCTGGCCCGTCGACCGCAACACGGCCCCCCCGCCGCCGCCACCACCGCCGCTGCCGCCGCCACCGCCCCCCTCTCCCTCGCCCCCGCCGGCCTCTGAGCCCGCGTCAGCGCCGCCGGCCGGCCCGAGCGGCACAGCCTCCACGTACAGCACCGCCCCGCCCATCGAGGTCCACGCGAGCCTGCGTTGGGGCTGCGGCGCTGGAGACGGATGACCGTGCTGTGCGTGCTGTGCGTGCTGTGCGTGCTGTGCGTGCTGTGCGTGCGCGCCCCGTCACGACGCCGACCGGGTTGGTGGCGTACGTGCGCTCGTCGATGAACTTCGGCTTGCCGACATAGTCGACGAGCTCGTCCGGCCCGATGACGTACACGGGCGGATCGGCCGCCGCCGGTGCCTCCCCCTCTGCCGCCCCCTCTGCCGCCCCCTCGGGCGCGGCGCTCCCCGTCGCGCCCGCCTCCTCGGCCGCCTCCGCGGCTTGCGCCTCGGCCGCCTCCGCGGCTTGCGCCTCGGCCGCCTGCGAGGCCTGCACCACCTTGAGAGCGACCTTGCGGCAGATGCGCTCGACGTGCTTCTGCAGGTTGCGCACGCCGGCCTCGCGGCAGTACCAGCGGATGAGCGAGGCGATCGCGTCGTCGGGCAGCTGCATCGTGCCCTCCTCGAGGCCCATCTGCTTTTTCGCGGCGGGGATGAGGTACTGGTTCGCAATCTGCATCTTCTCGTCGAGGATGTACCCCGAGAGGCGCACCACCTCCATCCGGTCGAGCAGCGGGCCTGCGGCGGGAGAGCTGCTGCTGCGGCGGCCAGCTGCTGCAACGGCCAGCTGCTACGGTGGCCAGCTGCTGCGGCGGCCAGCTGCTGCGGCAGCGGCGCGGGCGGCGGGGCGCGCGGGCGCGGGGCGCGTGGGCGGCCGGCGAGGTGCGGGGCGGGCGAGGCGCGGGGCGGACCGGGGATCGTGCCGGAGTCGTTGGCGGTGCAGAGGAAGAGGATCTTGGAGAGGTCGACGGGCGTGTCGAGGTAGTGGTCCATGAAGGACGCGTTCTGCGACGGGTCGAGCACCTCGAGCAGCGCCGACGCGGGGTCGCCCTGGTAGCCGCGGCCCAGCTTGTCGATTTCGTCAATGAGCACCACCGGGTTCGCGGCGCCCGTCGCCTTGAGGCACTGGATCAGCTTGCCCGGCATCGCACCCACGTACGTCCGCCGGTGGCCCTTGATCTCGGCGACGTCGGTCAGGCCGCCCACGGAGAAGCGGTAGAACTCGCGGCCGAGTGCGCGCGCGATGGACTTGCCGATCGACGTCTTGCCGACGCCGGGCGGGCCTGTTCACAGCTGGAGGTGTGAAGAGACACGGCGCGCGCGCGACGGAGGCCGCGCCAGGCGCCGGGCGGACCGACGAAGCAGATGATCTTTCCTTGAGTCGATCCGACGAGGGCGCCGACCGCGATGAACTCGAGGATGCGCTCCTTGACATCCTCGAGACCGTAGTGCTCCTGCGGGCCGTGTCGTGGACGTGTCGTGGGCGTGTCGTGGACGTGTGGTGGACGGGTGGTGGACGTGTGGTGGACGTGTGGTGGACGTGTCGTGCCGGCTGGCTGGGGCGGGCGGGCGGGCGCCTCCGCGAGGATCTTCTCGGCGCGGGAGAGCTCAAAGTTCTCCTCCGAGTGGATGCCCCACGGGAGGGAGGTGAGCCTAGGAGAAGGTTCCTAGAAGGTTCCTAGAAGGTTCCTCCGAGTGGCTGCCCCACGGGAGGGAGGTGAGCCAGTCGAGGTAGTTTCGCGTCACGTTGAACTCGGAGGACGCCGACTCGAGCGTGCCGATCTTCGCCATCTCCTCGTCGATGACCTTGCTCGCCTCCTCGGGCACGTTGAGCTCCTTGATCCGGTCGGCGAACTTCTGGAGGAGGGCGTCCTTGTCGTCCCGCTCGAGGCCGAGCTCCTTCTTGATCTGCTTGAGCTGCTCCATCAGCATGTACCGCCGCTGGTTCGCAGAGATCTTGTCTTCGACCTGCACAGCCGAGACACAACTGAGACACAGCCGAGATACAGCCGAGACCTGCTCTTCGACCTGCACAGCCGAGATACAGCCGAGATGCAGCCGAGATCTCGTCTTCGACCTGCTTCGAGATCTGCGACTGCAGCCGGGAGAGCTCGAGCTCCTTCTTCAGGAGAAGAAGGGTCTTCTCGATCCTCGCCGTCACGTTGAGCGTCGCGAGGACCTCCTGCAGCTCCTGCGCGTCCGCCGTGGTCAGCGCGGCGCCAAAGTCGGCCAGCTTGCCTGCCTCGTGGATCTCGGACCTGGTTGAGGACTCATGGTTCATGAGTCAGCATCGGTCAGCGTCGTGGATCTCGGGCATGGTGTCGGCACGGGGGAGGGAGGGTGAGGGAGGCCCGCTCCGCAGCTCCGCCGCAGGGGGAGGGGGGGGGGGGGGGAGGGGGAAGGGGGGGCGATTCCCCCCCGTGAGATCGAAGCCGCCGCGACCGCGCACCCGACGTCCCACGCCGGATCAGAAAGAGACTCCGCACACCGTACACAGCCCGGTGACGTCCCCCCTACCCTTCATATGCGCACATAACCCCCCCTCGCGTACAGCCCACGCACTCTCCCGCCCCCCCTCCTTGGGTGCCTTAGTC